TGGGATCGACTGAGCAGCCAGAGGGCACGGTGGCAGCGGAGGCGGAGGTGGAATGGAGAACGTGGGGGCAGCTGGAGGTGTGGGTGCAGGAGGTGGACGATGGTCTAGGAAAGGCGACGGTGGTGGCGGAGGAGGTGGAGGGGGCGGCGGAGCCGCGCTGGAATGAGCTGGAGGAGATGGAGGCAACGGCGACGCTGGAGATGATAACGGTGACACGAGATTGCTCCTGATGACGTCGTTTTTAGGAGCTTTCGCTTCCTTAGGTCCATTTGCGATTGGCGTCTTTGGGCGCGGTTCCTCGAGGATGATTTCTTGCACGCTGGATCTCTCCGAGTCTCCGGACGTTCTCGACTTGACGTCATTGGTCCTTTGCTCTGGAGGTACAGTCAAAGGGGAGGTCTGCGTGGACTTGCCTTGGGTGGCTCTGTCTGCGTTCTTCGTCAGCTCGCGGAGTCTCTCCACTTCTTTCCGCAGAGTTTCTTTTTCCGAGTCCCTGCGATCTCTCGGTGGTTCTTCCTGAAATGTTTGTGTATACAGTAGTACCTAGCTGAAACGTTATTGAACAACTCGAGAAACGTCTGCTTGATCTTACAGCGGCTTCCTTGTTCTGCGTCGCGCTGTCAAAGTTGATCGACCCGAAGAGCCCATCCGAATGCAACCTGGAGTACAACCTCGTGGCGAACTGCTCGACCTCCGCCTCCGTGAGCCTGGACTTGAGTTGCTCGGGCAGCACCGAGATCAGCGTGTCCACGATCCGCTTCTCTGAAAGATGAAACCCTCTTTGAAACCGTCCTTCGCCTTCTCCCTCGGTCTACCGCGGTGCGCTTTCAACGCCGAGGGATGGACCAAGCGAACCTATGTAATATTTAATGATCAAACTGGAGCTCCAGCCGCCGACGTATTCATTGCTCGCATCGACACCGTCCCAGGCTTCGTTTGGCATTGACGTTCAATCTCGCGCGTCCTTCTTCGAGATCCCCTGCGTCCGGGAAACCGCTAGATCGTAAACGAACGCCGGAGATACGAGATAAGAATCCGCTGTTCTCGGATCGTAATTATGTACACTGGTATCGAGATCAGTAATATACACACATGTAATCTCACAGTTAGAATCGCTGATCTCGGGATTAGTGAACATTGAACCGAGGCGTTTTAGCCTCTGGCGGTGGAAAGATAATTGTGGATCGCCTTGAGTCCGTTCAGTCCGCCGGTGACACTGTCGAGCTTGGCTGCTTGTGGACCATGAACCGTCGCCTCATCGGTAATCGACGGATCGAACGCGTCTGATGTCATTTCAAGCTTGGATTCTATCAAATATTCTCTTACTTCTCTTTTCTCTTGGATATATCAAACTCGGATGGTGCCACTATCTTTTATGTTTCTTTTATCTCGAGAATATCAAACACGAGTGATTCAAATATCTTTTATTCTTATTTTCCCTTGGAAACATCAAACTCAGCTGCTACCGAATATTTCTGATTTCTCTCTTTTCTCGAAAATGCCAAGCTCGAATGTTATCAGACGTTCTTTCACTCCTCTTTCGTTCTCGCGTAAGATCCGCCAAGACGAGCCGCGGTCGAACGTCGGAGTTCGCGGTGCAATGGGAACACACGACTGGGACACGTGGCGGGATCACGCCTCCTCTTATCGCCGCTCTTATCGACTACACTCGTTAATCGTCGTTTATTATCACGGCTTGATTCGCGTCTATTTTCGCGGCCCAATCGTCCGCAGTTTCACGTGTCGAGCCCGTTCAATATTCCTGTGCGGCGACAGCTTTCAGTGTTCGCGCACCCACTCCGTACAATCCTCGTCGAATTCCTCGAGGAACCGGCGCGTCGGACGTCCGCGGATCGGCAGGTTTGTCAGCGTTGTTTATATCGAGTACCGTTCAAGACCAGTTCCCTGATACTTCGCTTCTTTTTCTGACAGATAGTGATGTAACAGCGTCGCCAACCGAGCGACGATTCATTTATGTTTTCGACGATAAGAGATACATTGTGCCGCAGATAGTTGCGACTATCGGAAGATCGCAGCGAGCGTGACAGCGCGCGGAGTTGGTGAAGTATGAAATATTTCTCATTATATTATTCAAGAATGATACACACACACCGAGCATTTTAGAAATAAATTTGAAATAAACAACCGGAATATTATTCATCGACTACTGCGTTTCAGTGCCAAAATTAACCTCTACGAAAAGCTACAGGTAAGCTAAATTGATACCCACTTATCTCCGATCAAAGGCTAATTAAATCCACGCGTGAAAGGATTTACCCTTTGCACTCGAGAGGCGCCTTCCGGCCGCCATTTGATTTGACCAAAGAAAATTGTAAAATTGAAAACTCGAACATCGAAATAAAATAGTTCTGTCGCTTAATGTATGCAAGGTATTTCTTTGTGTTAATTGCAAGAAACATTGACGTTTCACCAGAAAATGAATATTTATTGAGAAAAATATTCTCGAGGGCAAAGGGTGAAACGACTGAGTTTTCAAAAGATAAACCATCCGCTCGACGCGAGACTCACCAGCTTGCGGAGGAAGAGGACTCGGCTCGTTCTCCTGTATCTTCGGGACCGGAAGCGTCGTCGCTGCTATCGTCGTCGTCGACGCCGAGTCCGACAGTTCCTTCTTCGCGGCGTCCGCTCCTTGGTCGTCGGGATCGGTGAAGACGCTGTCGCTGGAGGACTCCTGGCTGGGAGGCATCGAGATCTCCGACACGACGTGACTTTTATTGGCCAGTCGCCAGGAATCGGTGACTAGAACGACCGGCCCTTGCTTCTGAGGGGGACAGGACACCGGCACCAACAGCGTATTCGATAAATCAACTTCCGCCGTCGCTTCCGCCGACTCCGCCGTGTCCGTGGATCGACGAGCACCATATTCCGCTTCGTTGCTCTCTCGCTGGTTCTGAGTCGAGTCGTCCGGAGGCTCGGGCTCTGGCTGTGGAACCTATTCGATGCAGCAGTCGGTTAGCTGCGAGGCCATTTCGAAAGTAATATTGATTTTCGATTAACCCTTTGCGGTCCGAAGTGCTCTTGGTTTCTCGCTTTGAGGTTCGCGTCGACGTTAGTTCATTCGATTACAGCTTAATGAGACGCTCTGTTTATTTATTCAAGGATATTTAGGAGTCACTGAAATGTTACCTTTAAATGGTACAATTGTGATACTACAAAGAAATATAGAAAAATTGTTAAAATAGGTAGAGGTTGCAATAAAATAGTCGAGTCCGACTCGACAGGACTGCTAAGGGTTAATACCTATGCCTCTTTCGAATCATCGGTGAACCGATTGTTTCCTACTTATTTGTTTCCTACCGATTCAATGATACTTCAATACTGCAAAAAATCGAACGCGAAATCGTCAATATACAGAGGACTCGACGCGAATGCAAGAATCTATACTATAGAGCAGCCTACCGAAAATGTCAAAGGATATTATTTATGAAACAGCTTGATATCTCTTGAATAAAATATTCGCTCGACCTACTTCCATAACGAAGACAAATCTTCTTCGATACATTCGCCATTGTGCTCGATCCTTGCCATCTTGCTATCACTTTCACCGAGTCGCAATACTGGGTCATTCTAATGCGAGCTCTCTACGCTAAATCTCTCATGCAATTATCTTAGAAAATAAACCACGTCTCTCCCGTCTTCGCGCTGAGGATGAATCACCGTTAACACCATGGCTACCCAACTATAACTTCGAAGAGAACTACCGATATTACAAACGCGAATTTCATCAGGAATTCGAACTTCCGGATGTCCAAACTTCCAACCGTTGAAACTCATAGTCCTACTCTTGAGCCCTGCACCATGCCCTACGCGCACTTTCACCGAGTCGCAATACTGGGTCAGACTAATTCTCTCTACACTAAATCTCTCATGCAATTATCTTAGAAAATAAACCACGTCTCTCCCGTCTTCGCGCTGAGGATGAATCACCGTTAACACCATGGTTACCCAACTATAACTTCGAAGAGACAACTATCGATATTACAAACGCGAATTTCATCAGGAATTCGAACTTCCGGATGTTCAAACTTCCAACCGTTGAAACTCATAGTCCAACTGTTGAGCCCTGCACCATGCCCTACACAGACCCTGACCTTTCTCACGGCGGACCCCGGTGGCTTGGGCGCCTGCCGCTTGCCGTGGTAAGTCGGCCTCGGGAGCTTCTCTTCCGGCCTGGCAGGGGCTGGCCTCCTGACGGGCGTCTCGTCCTCCGTCTCCCCGTCGTCCCCAGTGTCGGTGGTGTCCCCGAGGCCGTCGACGGACCCATGAACGCTGGCCGTCCCGTCAGCGTTCTTGCCCTTCTTGGTCTTCCTCTTGGCGTCGCTCTGCAGGTTGCCCATGTCGGGGCCAGCCGGGACCTCGGCCCCTCGACAGGCGGTGGCTCTCGGTGGTGCCGCTA